GGGAAGGAGGGAGGGAGGGAGGGGGGGGGGGGGGGGGAGGGAGGGGGCGGAGGAGGATGGAGAGAGCAGGCCAATAAGGATGGCATGATGGAGGGAGGGAGGGAGGGTGGAGGATGGAGGGATGGAGGGAGCGGAGGAGAATACTCCTCCTCCTCCTCCTCCTTCTCCCCCTTCTCCTCCTCCTCCTCTTCATCCTCCTCCTCTCCCTCCTCCTCCTCCTCCTCCTGCTCCTCCTCTTCCTCCTGCCGCGCATTGCCGTGCCCTTGATATAGCGCTGCGCGTGCACGTCCAGATAAACATAACAATATACATGGGGGGTGGGTTTGCTGGAGGCCCTGCCCCTCGCCGCATGCATCGGGGCCCCTGGGCTGAACCGAGGCCGCAGGCGGGATGCCTGCGGCAAGTCGGCCGGCACAGGGGATCCCTGGTGCATACGGCGTCGGGGGGGGGGCTCAGGAGTTAAGGGGGTCCGTCTGTCTTGGGTCGGGGTCGTCTTGGTGGCCATCTTGGGGGACGTCTTGGGGGCCGTCTTGGAGGGTCATATTGGCGGCCGTCTCGGGCCCCTCTGCCCTGCTGGATGACGGAGCGCCCCTCGCAAGGGCTATAGTCGCGCGCGCGCGCTGGCCAGCGGAGGCGCGCCGTCCTAAGGCGGGGCGGAGGGGCGTCTGGGCGTGGTCGTCTTGGGGAACGTCGTTGGCGGGCCGTCTTGGGATGCCCCTTTGGTGGGCCCGCGCAGTTTGCAACCTCGACTAAGCGTTAATGCCGAACGGAGGTGCATAAGCGATGCCACTTGTTTTCGGGGCCATTACATCCTTCAATAGTCAATAGCAACATCAGTTTGTCCCCAACCGTCGCAAGGGACCCCGTGCCGCCCACGCCATGCCAAAAGTATTATCATGATGCCCTCCGGCCGCCAGGAGCACGCTCCCGGGGCATCCCTAGCTGTCATGAGCTCTCCCCTGACACACTCCATCTGTCGGGGGCCCTCTCCCGCCCCCCCCCCCCCCCCCCCCCCCAGCCGCCAGGAGCGCCCTCCTGACGCGCCCAAGCTGTCGGGAGCCCCCTCCCGACACCACCCCAGCCGTCAGGGGCACCCTCCTGACGCCCTCCAGCCGTCAGGAGCTCCCTCCCGACGCCCCATCCAGCCGTCAGGGGCCCCCTCCTGACGCCACCCCAGCCGTCGGGAGCACCCTCCCGACACCCCTCCAGCCGTCAGGGGCCCCCTCCTGACACCCCCCCAGCCGTCAGGAGCACCCTCCCGACGACCCCCAGCTGCCAGGAGCTCTCTCCGGACACCCCCCTCCGGCCGTCAGGAGCGCCCTCCTGACGACCCCCAGCTGTCAGGAGCGCCCTCCCGACACCCTTCCAGCCGCCATGGGCGCCCCCCTGGCGCCCCCCCGCTGTCAGGAGCACCCTCCCGACACCCTTCCAGCCGTCAGGAGCACCTTCCTGACACCATCCAGCCGCCAGGATCCCCCTCCTGACACCTCCCCAGCTGCCAGAAGCCCCCTCCTGACGCCCTCCAGCCGTCGGGGGCCTCATCCTGAACCTCAGCCGCTTCATTTGAAACAGGCGATCAAATACGCAACCGCACCTTTTGGACACCACGACACGCCACTAGCGCAGCAATGTCATCTAAAGACGGCTCGGGGCAGAAGCAGAAGCGTCGTCGTGTCACTGCTGGTTCCAAGATGCCTCAGGCAGTGCCAGCGCAGCAGGCAGCTAGAGCATCACGCAGGGCCGCAGCGAGCGCTGCAGCACCAGCAGCGCCAGCTCAGGCAGCGCCAGCTCAGGCTGTGGCAGCTGGAGCAGCACGTAGCGCCGCAGCGAGCGCTGCAGCACCCACTCCGGCAGTGCCAGCTCTGGAAGCGCAGAAGCCAGCGAGGACCATCATGGACGCCCTGCACAAGTCCTCCGCAGTCGTTCCTCGTGCACCCGACCCGCCTCCAGGCCCATCCGGGCGCAGGCTGGCGAGGGCCGAGAACGCGCAAGCCCCAGCCCGTGAGCAGCCGCCAGCGCCGCCAGCCCCCGAGGAGCCGCCAACGCCAACCACGGCGCCAGCGCCTCGAAACCCCAGCTCCGAGCCGCAGCATCGGAGGGACGTCTTGCCAATTACCCAGCCCCTGGACCCACCGCCAGTTGAGAGGCCGGCAAGTCTGACCCCTGCCACGGAGTTCAACGTTAACACCATCCGGGACAAGGCCAAATTATGGACCCACATGGGCGTTGATGCATTTTCGCAGTGGGCCGGACCATACGTCCCGGTTGGTTGCATCAACCACGGCAAGTTGGACTTCAACCCATGACGTTATTTCTATTCCAGAGCAGTGCCCTCGGATTGACACCAGGGCCCAGATGATGAGCTTTCGGGGCGACAACTTGAAAGCGTTGGAAAGGTTCTGGGGCGGCCCTGAACGCGGGGTCCTCGAATGCATCGCGCGGAAGGTGCGCGCGACAACGGTGTCTTCAGCTTTCAGTGGGATTGATGCACCAGCGGTCGGGGACTGCAGGGAGGGAGGCAGGAGGAGGAGGGAGGGGGGGAGGAGGAGGAGGAGGAAGGAGGAGGAGGAGGAGGAGGAGGAGGAGGAGGGAGGAGGAGAGGAGAGGAGGGAGGATCGGGATAGCTGCGAGGACCCCATGCTGATCGCGCGTCTCGCCGAGCTTACGGCCGGGCCAGTGAGGGAGATGAAGTACATTCATGCGTGTGAGGTCGACGTTCAATGCCAGATGGAGATCACGCGGTTGCCGAACCCACCGGAAATCATTTACGGGGATCTGGGGGATTTCTGGAACCCCGCAGTATACAAGGACATCAACAAGCGACGCATGGAAGGCCATGCTGCGACGTTCGAGGAGCTGCTCACTCCGATCAAGAGCGGCAAGGCTATTGTTCCAGAGGGGTACGCTATTAACCACCGCCGCCGTATCAAGATCGTAGGCACTCACATCCACAGGGTTGGCCTGACATGCCACGCGTGGGCGGGGTTCGGCAAGCATGACGGCACCCCAGGGAAGTCGACGGTCCACATCGGGGCGTGGTTCGGGGTCCGACGCCACGCCCAGGACACCATCATCATCGTGGAGGAGGCGGAAAGGTTCAACACGAAGCTGCTGGAAGATGGCCTCGGGGATCTGTACGTGATCGAGACTTGCATCTTGGACCCTCAGCTGTTCGGCGTTCCTGCCAGGCGCCCTCGCTGCTGGGCGATCTGCTACCATCGCGGCTTCGTGGAGTGCGTTGTCGGCAATATCCAGAACATCATCCCGATCTTCTTCAGGGTGGTCAGGCACGTCACCTACAGGGCGTTCATGATCGCCGGCGACGCTTGCCCTCGTGAACTGGAAGAGGAGCTGGAATGGTCGATGTCTCGGAAAGGCAGCAGACTGCACGGACTTGCTTGGGGGATCTGGAAACAGGGTTGTTTGGCGAAGTGAACCGCCTGGGGGAACAGGAGGAGGAAGCAGGAGGAGGATCAGTCAGGAGGCTGGAAGCTCCAGCAGGAGGATCAGTCAGGAGGATCAGTCAGGAGGCCAGGAAGCCGAATCCCCTCCAGCAAAACCCTCCAGCCTGGCTGGAGGGTTTTGCTGGAGGGGACTCGGCCCTCCCCTCAGGACTTCAGCGCCATGCCGCGATGCAGTACGAGCATCCTTTCGAGGAGTCCCTGACGGCGTGGGAGAGCAAGAACCTCAAGGCGTACCGCGAGCGCCAGCCTGCGCCTGGTTGCTGCTTCATGTTGTCGCAGAGTGGGGAGAGGAGCTTTGCAGCGTTCAGTACTCCCACGATCCTTCACACCTTGATTGCAAATCCCAGCCTGAACTTCAGTGATGATGTCCACCGCTGGCTTACGCCGTCAGAGTGCCTCATGTACCAATGCTTTCCCATGACAGCGACTTTGGGCAATCCCCAGGGCAGCCCGCGCCAGTGCTGCTCCTTTACCTATCGCCCTCATCACCCCCGCAATCGCAGGGGGGTGATGCGGCAAGCTGGAAACTCAATGAACATCGCTTGCTCGTCAGCGATGACGCTGTTCGCACTCGTTTTCGTGCTCAGGGCGGCGGAGGAAGAATCCGCGGATGGCATTCCAGAGTTCTTTCTTGATTGAGCGCGCCAGATGCGCACGCAGGTAGACCCTAGGGGAGAGAGAATGGGGGGGGAGAGAGGAAGGGAAGGGAGGGGAGGCTTAGAAGTATCAAAGAGCAGAGAGCACTGTAGCTGTAGCTCTAGCACCTTCCCTTCTCGCAAGCAAGCGGGGTCCAGCCAGGGCCCAGCCCAAGAGCTTCAACGTTGCTGCCCTCGGGAGCGCGTTGGCCCGGCGAGGCGAAAGAGGGGGAGGGTATCAGCACTCCGAGTTGCTGGAGTAGGTAATCTATTCGTCGGACTCGTCGAGTGTCGAGTTGGAGCTTTCATCAGTGCGAACATGGTTTGCGATTACAATTGCTGGATTTGGGTTGCCAGCCGATAATCGATAGGTGCCATGCCGCTCTTTACGTTTCAAAGCTCTTGAGATAGCCTACTAGAGGCTAAAGTGGGTAGATCGTGAGTCTCAGACTGTGTACTAGTCTCTGCTAGAGTGGGTTGGTCGTTATTTGCTGCGATCCCCCAAGTCCGTGCTTGGTCGCTGGCGTTCGCACAACAACCAAGCCTTCTGTCTGAAAAGAGATACCCTGCGCTCTCATGATATGATCCCTTCCCACTCCCCAACTCCTCTATCCTCACATCCTCCCTCCGTCTCCTCCCCACTCCTGCTCATGCTGCTGGGTTTTTTCTCGAGCCAACTCGAAGCAGAAGCGCTGCTTAATTCCTGACTCGACACCTCCTTCCATTTGTGTCTCGCACAGGCACGCCAGAATTAGCAGTCTACGGGATGAGTCAGAGTGCTGGTAGTAGCTCCGGTGGAAGTCAAAGTCAGTCTCAAGGCCAGGCTTGCAGTGGTGGTGGCAATGGCAGCAATGGCAGCCCTATCAACGCAGGGAGCCCTGGCAGGGCCGGCTTGGCTGCCATGGAGCAACAAATATCTCCTGAGGACCAGGCCACCTTCGCTTACATTACGACAGAGGCTGAGAAGGTTGCGAAGCAAAAAGCTGATCTCCAAGCGAAGCTTCGGTCTCAATTATTTGAACAGCTGCCAGCAGGCCAGAGGATCCTGAACCGGTTCCCAAACACGCAAATGGGGCTACCGATGCTCGGCTGCGTCCAGACGATCTACCGAGAGGAGTCCAATGTGACCATCCCGTTCTTCAACGCCGCGGGTGTTTTTCAACTCGCAGCGCGCCCGACTGCGAACCCTCGCAAGCAATATCAAACTGTCGAGGACGACGTAGAATCCATCGAGGAACACGGCTACGCGCCTGGAGTTCGTGGAGTGCCCTGGGCGCAACGGAATCCTGAGGCTGGTGGTCCGTATCTCATGCTGTCTTTCGACAAACTCTCTCAGGCAATTAAGATCGCGTATCAGAGGGACACAGGCATGACTAACGTGAAGGTCCAGACCACCATTTCGCGAGGATTACCCAATGTCGACATCTTCCGGCCCGACGCGCCGTTGGATGCGTTGGAGTTCTTGGTGCAATACCACAACGCTTTCCACAGTGGATCGAAGACCAGTTGGATGGAGATCTTGATTATCACGACCAAAGCCAAGGCCAATTGGTGCGCCGTCAAGATCACCAAGGGCCTGACCGCCCGAGACGGCAAAGGCGCAGCTAGCACTGCGGCCCAGTGCTGGGAGTGGGTCAAGGACAACTTCCCGGGAACGTATGAGTCGGAGAATGCGTGGTTGAAGTGCTGCAGCCTCGAGACCACTCTGAACGTCACTTGGGGCATCCTCCAAGAGATGAACACTGTCATGGGTGCGATCTGCCGCTACAGGGGCTAGCGCATCGACAACGCAGTTGCCCTGACCAGCCTCCACGGTTTGAGCGTTGTTCTGAAGACGTTGGAGACGAGCATTGACAAAGAAGATCTCAAGATCATCTTCAAGGAAGGGGCCAAATTCATGGTGCCAACACGCCCTTGCGCCACGGGCGCGACCTACTGCCGTGATATCAATTGGATATTCGAGAAGACTAACAATGCCAAGATCAAGTGGCTCCAGGAACCACTGGGGACTTTGACCGCCGTCGCAAAGCCCAAGGCGAAAGCCAAAGCCAAGGGCAAGGGAAAGAACAAGGGCAGGGACGTCAACGAGACAACAGAGGTCCCCGATGAGCACACCAAGGGTGACAAGTGTGCTTAGGAAGTGCGCTGGCTTGACGACCTCGTAGATGTTTGGAAAATGGCAGTCGCGGAGCGTCCCGAGATTAGCTTGAAGAAGACCCCAGATGTGCTGAAGTCTTACAAGAGGCAGCTTTATTCATTGGGGCTCAAATTCGCATGGGAAGGACAGATCACTCTCGTGGGTACTACCTACAAGAAGTGGTCTGTGCTCAAAAAGGCGTTGAAGACGATGGTCGACTTGTACCTTGACAACAACATGATGCAAACAGATTTCGCATGTGTTGCCCCGCAACTGGCAGACTCCACCTTCCTGCAAGAGGAGGGCGCGATCGTCGCAGCGCCGCCAACGGCACCAGCATCCTCACAACCGGCAGCGGCATAGACTGATGCGGCATCGACTCAGAAATCGTTCGCAGAGAAGTTGGAGGCTACAAGGCAATCGCTGACAGAGCCTAAGATGAACAACAAGGTGGCCTTGACGGGTACTCTCATTCAGGTGCTGATGAATGCGAAGACTGATGGCGACAAGTTCTTCACTGCATATCCGTTGCCAGCAGAGTTCGACTACAAGCTGCCGATCGTGGATGATGCGCCTATCCCTGACAGGTCAAGTGTTTCGAGTCTTGACCTTGACACTATTTGCAAGTCTGTGGTGACGAAGGCCTTTGGCTGTGTGCCCTTGAGCGCGCGCTTATTCACCAGCCACGTGAAGCACATGGCGATGTTGAAGGGGCCAACTGATGTGATCGTTCCACCGCAGGTCAAGTCTATGTTCCCAACAGCAGAAGTTTTGTCGTACTACAGCATCTTCCGCGTCTGGAGTCTCATCAAGATGACCATCCATTTCCACGAGGAAAGCGAGATCATCAAGGCTACGTCCGAACAGTTGAAGAAGCATGACGCCGCGGAGCTGCTCACCAATATCGTGCAGCCGTACGAAGTCGACGTGGATATCTACGCCCAAGGTTGGACTGCTGTGCTCAAGAGGCTGGACGTTTATCTCAAGTCTCGGGGCCATGGCGAGGGGCCCGCGTCGCTCACGAAGGAGTTCGTGACGATGATCGAAGTTGGCCTGGCCAAGGAGAAGAAATTTGCGGAGCAAGCTACTACGAGTAAGGTGGATACTGCAGCTGAGGCAGATGCAGCGGCCGACGTGAAGGATCCGGAGCTTCAGAGTCGAGTGTCTTTGCGCTGGCCTCTTCACAACATCCAGAACTTCATCGTGGGCGATTCTTCCAAGACCACTACGGAGCTTCCTCAGGCGGGCATCCCTCAGTACATGTTGCCGGCACTTGCTGGCACTCGCGGGGGCATTTCCAGCGTCTTCTTGGACCAGCTGTGCCGCTTCCTCGACTACAGCATCCATCGCGATGCCTTTCCGGAGCAGCGGGCAAACATTCCTGCTCCTTCCTGCTCCCTCCCCCTCCACGCCTCAATGTTTTGCGCGTGCCGCCCCATCCCTGCAGGACGATGGCTCTTACGAGGGATTCTCGATTGACCCGATCGGCGATGCGACGGGCAAGAAGGCCCAGCTCTGGTACGAGCCAACCGTGGAGCAAGGTACTTCTCTCATGTTCGCTGGCGAGGTCAGTGCCATTCCAGAGACCACAGCGAACAGATCGTCCAAGATATGCACGATCGTGATCGGCGGGGAGGCTACGATTCCTCTGTGCTTGAACGCGGGCCTGTACGGAACTCTCGGCACGACTGGGACCTGCGTCGCCCCAGCCTGGATCGCTCGTCTGTTAGACGCAAAGGAGATGAAGGATGTAGGAGGCGCCGCCGTCGATGTCAAACCGATCGACGTCACCTACCGTATCCCTCCGGAGATCCTGGCGCACAGCCCGACGCAGGCCGAGGCTGACATCAAGGTGAAGTGCCCCACCATTTCGCCTAACAAGGGCACGATCGGCAACGCCCACGTCGAGGTCACCAGGCCGGCGGCCCCCAAGCCGAAGCGAGCGGCCAAGCGCGGTCGGGCTGAGGTGCCCCGACGACGACGACGACGAGGACGACGACGACGACCAACACAAACAAAACATTAGAGGTGCGGCACCTCGAATGTTTTGTTTGTTTGGTCGTCGCGGGCACCTCGGAGGTGCCCGCATCGGTGCTCGAGTTCATCGGGAGCTCGTCGTGGTTTCAGCACATCGGCAAGAACCAGGAGAAGGAGAAGGACGAGGGCGAGGGGGGGGATCAGAAGGGGAAGAGGTCGAGGCAGCAGCCCAGCAACAAGGACACGCAGCATCTTACGAAGTAGGTTTTCTGAGGTTGGGGCTTGGGATTACAGCAGGGCTCCGGCGCCCCGCTCAGCGAGCGAGTTCTGTAATGGCGGCCGGCGGTCTGGGGATTAGGCTCTGGAGAGGGAGAGGGGGTCGCTAACCTTGTCGCCCTGCAATTCTGCTCGCTCTAGATTTCGAGTAGTTGAGAATTTGATTCGCGCCGCCGACCGTCGAGGCTGTAGTAGTGGATTCGTGGCCAGAATGGTAGAGAGTGGCTGCTGGCAGATCTCAGGGGCGTTCTGTCGCGATAGGGCCCGTTAGTTGCATGCCGGCCTCGACGGCGCGGCGCAGCGCGCCATAGCTAGCTACTAACTCACCCCAGATCCCACTTCACAGCCAAACACTCCTCCCTCTTGAGACTCTTAGGCTGCGCTGAGATGTTTTAGATTTCTAGTAGGATCAGGCTTGGGCCAAGGCCTGCTTCCCCTCCCTTTCATTCCTTCCCTCCACCGCTTCCTCATCCTCCTCCGCCTCCTCCTCCTCCCTCTCCCTCCTCCTCCTCCTCCTCCTCCTCCTCCTCGCGCTCCTCCTCGTGCGTCTCCTGGTTAGGGGGCTCGGGTCGCGATGCCGCGATGATCACCGCGGCGCGGCGTTCGGGAAACAGCCGCCCCGCCTCCTCTTCTCCCCCTTCCTCCTTCTCCTCCTCCTTCCTTTTCCTGCACTCCCCCTCTTTCCGTAGCCATTTTGGCTCAAGACCCATGAGTTGGCGGGCTGAGCCCGCATTGGCTTTCACGGACACCGCTAGTCCGCGGCTGTGCCAGGGCGCTTGCGCCCGACATCTGCTTTCGCCTGTGCCGAGGGGTTGGGCCCCCTCCCAGAAGTGTGAGACGCGGGCGCCAGCGTGGCGCCAGGGCCGCCGCCGTCCGCCCCTGCGGTGCCCCGCGGGCCGCGGCGGCCCACTTGGGCATGCGGGCGGTGCTCAGCCTCGGCGAACTGGGCATCGCGCATCCGCTGTCAGCGTGGGAACGAAGCGCCGTTACGTATCAAGAAGGCTGCTTGGGCCGCTCACCAAGAGATCCTCGCCAAAGGTGGCCTCTCAGGTGGGAAAGGACAAGATAGCGGCAAGACGAAGGACGAAACGAGTAAGCGCCTGGAGGCCATCGAGAAGCTTCTCCTCGGCAAGGGCGCTCCATCTACAAGTGCGGCGCCTCCGAAGGTCTGGCCAGCGCCAGGCGAAGGGGCACCGCCTTGGAGGCAAGAACCTAAGGCAGATGGCAACAGCATGGACACGGCAGAAGATGAATCTACCAAACGTACGAGGTTATCGAGCCAGATTGCGCAATATGAGTCAATCCTCAAGGCGCTTCCTGGCGATGAGAGTGACCAGATCAAGAAGGCTACGAAGGTCAAGTTGGCTGAGCTGCGTGAGCAGCACAAGGCATTGCGGACTCCTACGCAAGCCCACCGCCGTGCGCAGCAATATCTGGAAAAAGCTAAGTTACACAGTGCGAAGCTGGAGAGTGAGATCAAAGGGAAGGAGCAGCAGATCGCCAAGATACAGGAAGCGTTGGAATCTCGTCGCGCGCAGCTCCAAGCTAAACGTGCTGCGGTCGTTACCCTGGAGGCGGAGTCCAAGCGAACGGCGGCATTGGTCGGTCATCCTGCCCCGGCAGACGACGACGCCAAAGCTGCCCCCATTTTCGACTTCGATGTCAAGGCCTCTGACGTCAGTGGTGGCGATTTGCAGTCTTTCCTCGGGTCCGAGCTGTGGACTAAGTTGCAGTCGGTGCTCAAGAGCAAGTTCGCTGCTGCGTCCCCTCCAGCTCCTGCTCGCGATGATGGTGAGTCTAGTGCTGGGGGTGGGGATGAGTCTGGTCCCAGTGAAGCTCCCAAGCGTACCTTCGAGGGCCTGTCCGACGAAGATAAGCAGTATCTCTTCGACTCCGACACTTTCGAGGATTTCAGCACCAAGCTGGGAGAGTTTGCCAAGCGACAACGACGCGGGTAGCGCGTACGAGATGATGTACAGGGCGATCTCTGGTATCGATTCAGTCTCATTGTGCGCTGCGAGGAACGCAGAGCCTCTGCCTTCCTCGGAGCCCACCCTACCAAGGTCACAGATGTTTTCTGAAATGGTGGATCTCTCAGATGCAGTACTGCAGCCTGTCGGCACGCACTGTGGCTCGCAAGGTTTCTGCGACTCGCCCGCAATGAGGGTAGCTGAGAGTAGAGGGTACCGACCATCCACGGATGGCACGCACTGCTCACTCCCTGGACCTCGCGGGTCAACTGCAGGGATCAGTGGCGGGTCGCAGTACCGACCTTCAGGCTTGGCAGATGGTTTTGTGGCTGTGAGAGTTTCTGGCGTACCTGTATCGATGACAGGACAGACGAAGCCTATACTTACACCACCTTCGCAGAGCACTTACCTGTTTGAATATTTCAATGCAAATGGTGGTCGCAATACGTTAAAAGATCGAGTGAAACGTTCACGTGCGCATGTTATCCTGGCTCAAGAGATCGGGTATGATGCATCCAATGTCGAGTCCTTGTACACGTGGGCGCACAATCGTGGATGGAAGTTAATTGCAGTTCCTGGTGTAGCTACCGGAGGGAATCCGTCTGCTGGGGTAGCGGTGTTTGCACGTGCTGAGCTTGGGTTGCGCAAGCCCGAGCCTGGACGACATGTTCTGTATCCACATCGCTTGCAGCATGTGATGGTAGACCTCCCTGGGTGGCCAGCTTATCATGTGCTGAATGGATATCTCAAGGACTCCATCGGTCCCACGGGCATCAACTCCGCTATATTGGCCAAGCTCGGGCAATGTTTCTCCGACTGTCGTGGGCCTTGTATTGCTGGATGTGATTGGAATATGTCTGTGGCAGAACTGGAGTCTACTGGATTCCCTCGAAGGGCAAAGGCCACCATGGCAGTGCCAACTCAAGTTACTTGCCGAGCAGGAACGGGATCCACGACTATCGACTACTTCGCCCTAAACGATGTGGCGGTTCGTGGTTTCAGAGGAGTGCAAGCTGAAATGCGATGGGCTAAACGACCGCATCGACCTGTGCTGTTGAGTATCGTGGACCATGGATACAGTATTCGTCACTTCGTGTACACCGTGTCGCCATCACTGCCGTCGGCTCCAGTGATAGGACCTACTGTAGCCCCAGCTGACTGGAGTACTCGCCGCGCCCTCGCTGAGGCGTGTCTGGCCATGGCGACGGACGAGACGCAGTCGGTCGAAGCTGTATGGGTTTTTCTATCACGTGTGTGGTCGAAGTTCGCAGTGACGGCAGCGAAGCAGGTGGCGATCAACACTGGCACGGAGTTGAAAGAGCCTGGAGTTTTCGGTCGCAACTTGTCTCCCAGGTGGGTTGATGCTACGTATGAGTTAGATGACGATACACACGCGAAGTTGATAGCGGAAGGCTGGCAGTGGATGACAAACAGTCTTCAGGCGATATTGCAGCTCTATCGTGGGACCAGCAATCTAGATCAGCGTTCTATCGAGATCGACAGTTTTCTCACGGTGCAGTATCATGGTCAAGGGCTGCATGCGCGTCTCGATTTCTCTGTTAGTCAAGCGCGCGATCTGGTCAGTGGCATCCCCATGGAAACTGATGCGATCTCCCAGTTCTTAGATGAGGTGAATGATGACTTGGAGGCAGCGGTATTAGGCATGAATAAGGAGTCTGCGCATTTGTGGAGTGAGTGGTGTGCGGAGTCAGTTTCCCGCGGTGCGCGTGCCCTTCACAGACTCACGAAGGTCAAGGCCATACCGGAGCCAGCCCAGTGTTCAGGGCCAGTCGTCTCAGGCAGTCCAGTGGCGATCGTCGAGAAGGAAGTGGAGATGTACCAGAAGTTGTGGAAGGCAAGCGGACAAGCACCTTATGCTTGGGTGCCAGATCGGAGCACGTGCCCAGTGATGGAACCCGAAGCTATCAGATCGGTGGTGAGAACCTTCCCGACTGGAACGTCAGCTAGTTTCGATCATTTCCACCCTCGGCACGCGCTCATGCTAGACGACAACGCTTTGGAAGTGCTTAGTATGATTTTTCAATGTTCTGAGGCTATAGGGCTGCTCCCTAAGCAGTTATGTTGGATACAGATGCCGATGTTGGGAAAGCCGTCAGGAGGCAACCGTTTGATCATACTGTATGCTGGAGTGTACCGTATCTGGCAGCGCGCTCGCAGATGGATGGTATCAGGCATCAGTCAGCAGCTTTCTCGTAGATATTGGGGGTGCAGCGAAAGGACGTTCGGTACTTGACTGTGCTTGGTTGCAGGCGGCACGAGCTGAGAGCGATCATCACAGCAACCGTCATCACCTCATGTGGGTCATAGATTGGTCCAAGTACTACGAGTCCATCCCGTTGGATCTGCTGCGAATGAAGTTTCTGGAAGTAGGAGTGCCTGTATGCTGGCTCAAGCTGGTGTATACCACGTGGAGGTCACCGCGTGTCATTCGTTTGGGCAGGCATCATTCTGTCACACCTTTATTTGCTGTGTGTGGCCTACCTGCGGGCGACGGCTACAATGATTTGGAGATCAAGGTGCACGCATGTGAAGAGTTCGATGAGTACATGCCCAAATGCCCTGCGATAGATTTTCTGAACTACATAGACGACACGGCTCTCAGCAATGGTGCCAAAGATGAGGAGATTGCAGTGAAGGTCTCTGTGCACGCTACGGTTGAGTTCCGACGTACTTCTGAGAAGCTCTCGGCTGGTTTCAATTATGAGAAGATAGGCTTGATGGCGTCCACCCCGAAGCTCGGCCGCGCGGTGCTCGACGCGCTAGATATGCCGCACTCCATGCTCAAGCAGAGCGTCTCCTACCTCGGCGTCGACGAGGCTGCAAGAGCCAGGCGTGGTGCAGTAGGGGTGAAAGCCAAGCAAGCCAGACGGTTTTCTGGAATGATATTGCGCCTGAGGAAGGTCAAGTTTTACAAGAAACGGTTTAAGGGTCGGAAAGAGGCCCCATTTTCCAAGATTTGCCGTGCTGGAGTTGCTCCAGCTAGCAGTTTTGGCGCCG